GACCATTCGACCGAGGGCGCGAGCAGAGGAGAGTGGAGCTTGGCCCGATCGCACCCGGCCACGACCTCTTTCGATCGGCAGCGGGCCCTAATGACCGAGGAGGGCAACAACGACCCCTGCCGCGGCTGGGCCGCCACGGTCCGGCACCTTCGCGCGGGCAACCTCATCATCATATCGGCGCACTTCTTGCCGAAGCACGGCTTCGGGGCCTCAACCTGGAGAGATGGGTTTCCCTCCGAGTCTTGTTAGCGTCGGTGTCGGACCCATGGATCGCCGCTGCCGACTGGAACCTCACCCCGAAGGTTCTCTCGGGCTACTCTGTCCTGAAGGATGTTGGAGGAGTGACCGCCCTCCCAGATGTCGAGGCGACCTGCGACAAGGGCGCGGGCTCCCTGATAGACTACGCGGCGGCGGCGGAGTCCGTGGCCCACCTCATCACGGTCAAGGCCATGCTCACGGTCCCTTGGAAGGTCCACTGCGGCCTCCACGTTAAGATAGAGGGCTCGTCGACGGCGCGGCGGCATCGCACCTTGGTCCTGCCGCGGGCGCGCTCTATTTTTGGGCGACTGCCAACGGGCCCCGACCCGACCAGTAAGAGTCACCAGCGTAAACAGGCAGCGCTCCACAGGCGCACGGAGGCCCTCCCTGCTGACCATCAGGATGCCTTCCTAGACCTGCACCAACCTCCAGACAAACCGGCGCTGGCGGGCGACGAGTTTGCCATCGGCGTCGACCGCTGGGAGGGCAGCTCGCCCGTCAAAGTGCGGGGCAATGAGCACCAGCAGCCGTGCGCCTTCACGGCGGAGATGCGCAAGATCCGCGGCACTCCGACTGTTGGCTGGGCCCTCGATGGGGGAAAGACGACCTCTCCCAGGCTCACGGCAGATGGGTCGATCAGGTCGGGCAGGCCCTCCTCGACCCTACGATGACGCCCCAGGAGAGAGCGCCCTTTGCTGGTAGGGCCCGCGGCTTCGCAGCTACTTGGAAGACGTCGGTCTCTTCTCCTGGGCGCGGCCACTGGAAGCATGATGGAGCAGCGCAGTGGTCTGTTATGGACACCTCTGCAGGAGAGCGCCGGCCATTCCTTGCACGACAAAGACGACGGCCAGATGTGCAGCGCCTTGGCTCGCGCTGCTGAACGAGTTCAGCATCTGCGTCAGCAGTACCTTGAGGGCCTCGATCGCCTCGCCAGTTACCAGCTCGTGCAAGGCCTGACCCAGGTGGTGATTAGTGTCGAAGCGGTCGCAGCTTGCGAGGTTGCACGCGGCATCGGCAAGGCCCGCTTGGCCCGCGCTGATTGGGTCCGTCGCACGTGGCGCAGCTCTCCTGGAGCGCTTCACCGACATGCGCGAGATCCTGTTGCACCTCGGCCTGCGGATGCCACTGTTGAGGTCACGGCCCCCTCCATCGCGGCTAACGCGGTGGCAGACCCCATCGCCATCATGGCCACCAAGTCGGCGAAGTGGGGCAAGATTCGGACGGATGCGGCAGGCCCTCGGGCACATCCGTCAGAAGGCAGATGAGGAGGGCATCCCTCCGTTGCAGATTGAGCAGTTGCAGGCAGGCATTCGAGCCACAGGCAACACGAAAGCTCGTGGAGTTATGGGCTCGGAGAGGGCGATCTTGGCCGCCTGCCGCCTCCTAGCACTAGGCGCTGGCCGACATCCTGCGGCGCTGCGAGGCTGCCCAGGCGCGGCCGTTGCAAGTGGCAGCCACCCTCTCGGCCCTCGCCCCGAAGCCGTCGCGAGAGGGTGACCGCGTTCTTGGATGGCCCCGCTGCCTGTCAAGCTGCGGTCGAGGGCGCGCCAGACGTTCAAGTCGCAGTGGTGCCCCAGACGCGCAGCATTCTGGGACACAGCTGCCAGGGGCTCGTCAGCCCCCAGAGCAGCCTGACTCAAGGCGACCCAGGACGAGGCGGCCCAGGAACAGCAGTTGAGCTTCCAGGTGCTGCTCTCGGGCACCGAGAAGTGCTACGACAGCGTCTCGTTGGCCGGCTTGCTCCAGATAGGCCTGGACTTCGGCGTCAGCCCGACCGCCATGGGCCTCCAGGCGCAGGTATACCTCCACCCGCGCTACTTGAGGGAGCGTGGACGGCTCAGCGAGGCGATCTACCCTACGCGCAGCGTCGTCGCCAGGTCGTCGCACGGGGCCCCCATCTCCAAGCTGGCCCTCTACCTGATCCTGGAGAGGGTCCACCAGGAGGTCCCGACTGCGCCCCTCTGAACGCCCATCGACGACACCGTTGGACGATGCGAAGGCACGGCTCAGACTGCGCCACCTGCAATGGAGAAGATTGGCACGACCCTGGCCCGTGGATTGGAGGAGCAGCGGATGGAAGTCTCCTCCAAGTCCCTGCCCCTGGGTTCGTCGGCCAAGTTGGCGAAGAAGTCGGCGAAGCGGCTGTGAGCGAGAGGCGTTCCTGTCAAGCCAGCCACCCAGGGCGCCGACTTCGGCATCGACGTGGCGGCTGGCACGCGCAGGGCCCGCGCCAAGTCGTTCTCGCGCCGCGCCAAGGCGCAGCGACGCGCTGGGCGCATCAAGCGGCTCAGGCGCACGGCGGCCCTGGGTCGCGAGGCCCGCTGTCTCTGGGCCACTGGAGCGTGCCCGCAGGCCACGTATGTGCACCAGGTCTACGACATCCCGCCGTCGGCCTTGCTGACGCTGCGGCGCCAGGCTGCTGCTGCAGTGACGGGCGGCCAAGGTGGGCACTGCTTGACCAGCACGCTGGCGGCCTCCTTCGGCCTGCGGGACCCTGCGGTGGAGCTCGGTCGGCAGCAGGTTCTGGAGTGGCTCAGGTTGTGGCCAGCCCAGCCTGATCTACACCCGCGAGTCAAGTTGGCGCGGCCTTCGATCCAAGCACGGATCCTGAAGGCTGAGAAGCGGTGCTGGAAAATCGTGCGAGGTCCGATGTCAGCGATCATTGCTACGTTGCTGGACGCGGGGTGGGATCCGAAGTCTGCTGGTGTTTGGACTCGCCCCACGGCTACAGGAGTTGATGAATGGCATATACCGTCGAGCAGTGAGAAAGCATTCGAGCACTTCGGGTCTACTGTAGAGCTCGTGAACGACCGGACGTGTGATTTTCGCTCGGCATTGTGGGCTGAGGCGAGCAAGCATGACGCTGGCGAGGCCCTCGACGGAGGCAGCGATTTCTTCCACAGTAGCAGGGGGCTCAAGCGCCACCAGGCCCGCGGCGAGTACGACGAGCATGGCTTGAACCTCACAATGGTGGCGGCAGGGCACTGGACTCGTACGCGGCGACGCCTTTGTGGCTATCAGATCGAATCGACCACTTGCCCTCGCTTTAAGAAGCATCCTGAGACGCTGTTCCACAGGACTTGGCCTTGCGAGGCCAAGCGCGACCACGACGACTACGACAAGACCTCCTCGCTGCTGGCTGCGGCGCTGGCGCAGCATGAGAGCCAGCCCACCGTCTGGCTCCGCGGTGTGCCCACTGTCTGCATGACCACGCCTCGGTTTGATGAGGCGCTGCTGGCCGAGCTCGAGCTCAGGCTGTCTGGCGCCTTCGAGGACTGCAAGGAAGAGGGGTGGACGGTGGTGCACGGGGACGGGTCGGGAGGGAAGCACTCGAATGATCCTCGTCGGCGTCGATGTGGCGCGGCGATCGTGGCCCTTGTTCGCAACGAGGAGGGTGAATATGAGGAGCGCGCTGGCATTGCGAGGCCCCTCCTTGGGCCAAAGCAGTCGGCCCCGAGGGCCGAGCTCCTCGCGTGTTGCCTCATGCTCGGGAATGTGACCAGATATGTAGAATTCGTCACCGATCATAAGACTATTGCCAGGTCTTGGAAGCTCACCCTGGAGAATCCCAAGGCCTCTCGCCTCCAGGAGGATCTTTGGGAGCGGGCTCGGAAGCCTTGGAGGGCTCGGGCTGGCCAGATTGTAGTGAGATGGACCCCATCGCACACAGATGGGGAAGCGAGTTTTAACAGTGAGCAGGAGAAGCTCACGGCCATGGGTAACATGGCTGCGGATATCTGGGCGGGGAAGGCGGCGGAGTCGGCGTGGGAGAGGGGGGGGTGGTGGGGGACCTTCCTCGGACCGATGCGGTCGACCCTGCTGCTGCGATGATCAGGAGGCGTGCCCGTCGCGCCTTGCAGGATTCAGCGGCCGTCGAGAATCACTCGAAGGCCGAGAGAGAAGCGATGCCCATCAAACCGGTGCCGAGGTCTCGGGTTGTTCGAGCAGTTGCTGCCTCCGCCCACCACCTCCACCTGAGGGGCCCTGTGTGGGTTTGCGAGGTCTGTCTCCAGACTGTGCCCATGTCTAGGTTCCTGGAGCTGAGCTCGAGCCACTGTAATCCTCCTCCCCCTCCTCCTCCTCCTGAGGCTCCCGACCTTCCTAGGGCTCCGAGGATCTCTCAGGGAATCGGCCTTCATTTGCAGGGAGTTGAAGTCCACCCGTCTCATTTGCTCGGGCGAGCGGACCAATTCTTCCTAACTGTTTGTCACACCTGCGGGGCCTATGCGACCACGGACCCCCGTCATCTTATCACTGAATGTCGCCCGAGTCGGAGGAAAGGCTCGGAAAACTTGGACCGTTTGGGCAAGGGCCTCTACCCTCGTCGTGAAGGGCCCCCTAAGGCAGTTAAGATGGCGATGCAGGCTAGTGAAGAGTTTGCTGCCCGAAGTAGGCGGCAGAGTGTGAGTGGAGCTGGTTCGTCAAGCGAGCCTGGCCCCGCCCCCGCTAATCCTCAGGATGCACCCGCGGGGTCTAATCCCTAATCCCTCGTTGGTGCGGTCCTCCCCTTTAAGCTGCTGCCCCAAGATTCTCCCTGTGAGTCTGGGGCCTAGTGGCCCGCAACACTGTTGCCCCGATTGAATCCCAACTTGAATCCCCCTCCCCTCCTCCCTCCTGATCCGCCTCCTCCCTCCTCCACCGTCAGAGGCTAGACGCTCGGCTAAAAACAGGTCATCGGAGGTATGGTTCCTCATCCTCCTCCTCCTCCTCCTCCTCCTCCTCCTCCTCCTCCTCCTCGGCGCTGGTCCTTCAGGTAGTCCATGGTCAAGTGGTGCTGGCCGTTGATCATCGCCAGCCTATCCACGCGGAGGGGCCACGAGAAGAAGGGAACTACGTGTGAATACCTGGCCGCCACCGTCCACGTTGCCGACGGCAGGTTCGTGTCGTGGCGACTTCGGAGGTGGTTTCTTACACCGCGTGGATCGTTCGACCTTGAACGGTCGGCCGCTTTTCGATCGCCATATCATTCCGTACTGGCCGATTCTAGGTCACCGGCGGCGTTCAACCATTAACACCTGCGGCGGGGTCGCCGCCGCGTCGGCAACGACTCGGACCGACCGTCCTCCTCGTGCGGAATTCCGAGTCATACAGTGCCTCGCGTGGTCGCGCCGAATCTTGTCGGAGTCAGCCTACAAAACAGAGCTGTGGCGAGAGGAGGGAGGCCGAGCCGAGAAGGCCGGAGAAGGAGATGGGGAATAAGAAAACGGGGACCATGACCAAGACTGAACGCGGAAACGTTGTGACCGTCTTGGTCACCGTCAGCATCAATCCGCGGACCATCCTCGCGAAGGGGCGACGGCCCACATGGGTCATGACCGAGATCGGCATCGACAAGATCCCGCGACTCCTCGGTCATGGTCTCCGTGATTCTTCACGAGGGGAGAGGAGGGCATCGAGGGTGCCCCGCAGCGACCGGCAGCGCGGCCGCGACCGGCGGCGGTGGCAGCGAGAGGGAGGGGAAGGGGAGGGGGAGGAGAAGGAGGAGAGGGACGAGAAGGAGGAGAGGGAGGAGGAGGAGGAGGAGGAGGAGGAGGAGGAGGAGGAGGAAGAGGAGGAGGAGGAGGAGGAGAAGGGAGGGAGGGAGGGAGGGAGGAGGAGGAGGAGGAGGAGGGACAAGGGGAGGAGAGAGGAGGAGGAGGAGGAAAGGGACGGGGACGAGGAGGAGGAGGATGAAGAGGAGGAGGAAGAGAACCCCGCGGCATCGAGGGGGCCCCGCGGCGACCAGCCGCCGCGGCCGGCGACCAGCCAGCGCGCGGCCGGCGGCGGGCCTCTCCACCCCGGAGGCCGCCGCGCTGCTCGCCAGGGAGCTCGCGGCGGGCGCCCCGTGCGCCGTCTGCACCTCCGAGGCTGGGCGATCGCCGACGCGGGGGGCGTGGCGGCGAGTCGGCGGCGACGACCGGGGGCGGCGAGGGCGACGGCGCAGCCCTCCTCCTCTCCTCCTCATCCTCCTCCTCTCCTCCTCCTCCTCCTCCTCCTCCTCCTCCTCCACCCCCCTCTACTCCCCCCTCTTCCTCCTCCTCCCTCCTCCTCCTCCTCTCACTCCTCCTCCTCCTCCTCCTCCTCCTCCTCCTCCTCCTCCTTCCTACTCCTACTCCCCCCCTCTTCCTCCAGGACGACGAGGCGCGAGGGGAGGGGAGGAAGCGGCCCAAAGAGAGCCACGCATGCGTCGCTGATGCTGCAAAGCCTCCTGTTCCCACTCCCCTCGCCGTGAGTCCCTGCAACCACGCCTCTCCACCGCGGGCAGCGCCTCCTTGAGAGACGAGCGCCACGTGGGCCCGCCGTTCGGGCGACGGCCCCGCTTCGTAGAAGGAATCCCCTGCATGCTTCGAGCTACGAGGCACGCGATGAGGTAGCATCAGAAAGCTCAAGAGCAAGTCCAGCGAGAGCCCTGTGTTAACAATAAACACTTTCCACCAGTGAGAGTTGACTTCAAGAAATCGCACATGAATGACCCTATCATCAATAGCTTCGTCATCATCCGTGCAGCCATTCCGCAATTGCGCACGTCTTGTCATGTGTGTACACGGGGGGGACGTCTCAGGCGAGAGCCCCATTGGGAAGTGACACGCCGTCCATCCTTGGAGCTGCTGCAAGCTTTCAAGACGAATGCGCGCGGCGCCCAGCCAAGAGCCACATCATGAAAATGGTACGCCCTCCATCCATATTGATGTTTCAAGCCTCGGCCGACTGTGCATGGCGCGAAGGTGAGAGCCCCGTTTTGATAACGATCCTCCCTCCATGCATGTACTGTTGAGAATTCCCAGCTTACGAACATAGGCAGAGAGGACAGCTCGATAGCTAGGACGAAGACCACGACCACCACCACGACAGCGACCAACATCACCACCACCAAGACCACGACGGCGACAACCGCGGAGTCAACAAGGGCGACCACAGCGGCAACGACAACGACCGCCAGGGCGACGACGACGACGACGACAACGACGTCTGCGCCTCGGTGCCCGCCATCGTGGAGTACTCGGAACACCCGTCCTTCTGCCACCTCTGGCCGCTCCCTCCGGCGCTGCTGGCCGCAGGGCGGGGGCAGGCCCCCGCGCTCTCGGCACAGCTCTGGCGCTCCGCGGAGCTCCGCCGCCAACGGCAACATCGACGACGACGACGACGACGACGACGACGACGACGCAGAAGACGACGACGACGACGACGACGACGACGACGACGGCCTTAGAAGAGATCGGGGGCTTCTGTGAGTGCCTGTCTGAAGGCGGGAGGGCTTCTGAAAAGCATAAGCGGTACTCACGCTGTTAATCCTAGGGAATTGTTCGAGTCGCCTCTAGCCGTGCCGACGAGAATCTCCAGAAGCGCTCCAGAAAACTCAGAAACACTGCATCGGCAATGACGGCGACGCCGACTGAGGTGGCATGCGCGCCCGGATTCTTACACGAAGGAGCGTCGGGAGACATAAGGAGCATGGTGATGAGAGGGGAACCTCTTTGGCTGATCCTGGGGATGTCTCGGGACCATTACGGAGAGGTTGATGAAGGGGGGGGGGCAAACAAAAGACGACGAACGAACGACGAAACGAAAACGCCTCGAGCTCTAAAAAACAGCTGTGCAAGAGAATCACGCAAGAACCTCCCCGCCCTGCTCTTGTGCGCCGCATCGGCGTCAGCCCTGGTGGGGGCGCGATCACGCCCGCAAGCCACATGCCTGGGCAGCAATATTGTGACAGCATGAGCACCACTCCTGCCCTTCTCCTGCTGTCTTCCCCCTCTCCTCCTCCTCCTCCTCCTCCTCCTCCTCCTCCTCCTCCTCCTCCTCCTCCTCCTCCTCCTCCTCCTCCTCCTCCCCCTCCTCCTCCCCCTCCCCCTGTGGAGGCCTCCCAACTTCGACGGGGTCCGAGGATCGCACCGCATCCCCGAAGCATCGCCGATGCATTGCCGATGCATCGCCGATGCATCGCCGATGCAGCGGCGACGTCGGGACGGAGAAAGCTGGACCGCGAACCGCGCCGCATCGCTGATACATCGCGATCTTGGGCGATCCTCCGACCCCATCTACTCGATCCTCCGAAGATTGGTCCTCGATCCTCGAGGATCCAGAATGTGAGAATCATTTATGTGTTGGTTTGCCCACTTGGTGCCTCCGGAAATATCATCCCGCATGCATCGGGAAGCCTACAGGAGACCCCTGCAGCTGCCACCTCCTCCCTCCTCCTCCTCCTCCTCCTCCTCCTCCTCCTCCTCCTCCTCCTCATCCTCCTCCTCGTCCTAGTCCTCCCCCTCCTCCTCTCTCCCCTCCTCCTCCTCCTCCTCCTCCTACTCCTCCTCTCCTCCTCATCATCATGCCTCCTCCTCCTCCTCCTCCTCCTCCTCCTCCTGTTCTCATCATCCATCATCATCATCTTCATCATCATCATCATCAATCATCATCATCATCATCATCATCATCATCTCATCATCATCATCATCATCATCATCATCATCATCATCATCATCATCATCATCATCATCATCATCATCATCATCATCATCATCATCATCATCATCATCATCATCATCATCATCATCATCATCATTATCATCATCATCAGCAGCAGCAGCAGCAGCATCAGCATCATCATCATCATCATCATCATCCTCATCCTCATCCTCATCATCAGCATCAGCATCAGCATCATCATCATCAGCAGCATCAGCATCATCATCATAATCAGCATTATTAGCAGCACAATCATCAGCAGCAGCAGCATCATCAACATCATAATCAGCAACAGTATCATCATCAGCATCGGTGCCATCATCATCATCATCATCATCAGCAGCAGCAGCAGCAGCATCATCAGCATCATCATCATCATCATCATCATCATCATCATCATCATCATCATCATCATCATCATCATCATCAGTTGGGGAAGGAGCAGCATCAGAATCCGCATCAGCATCATCAGTTCCATAAGCATCATCGTCATCATCCTCAGTATCAGCACCATCATCAGTAGCAGCACCATCAGCATCATCGTCATCATCAGCAACATCAGCATCAGCATCTTCATCAGTAGCATCATCATGGGCATCAGCATCAGCATCATCATGATCATCAGCAGCAGCATCATCAGCATCAGCATCATCATGGACAACGGCAGCATCGGAATCCTCATCATCATCAGTATCAGCAGCCTCGTCATCATCATCAGCAGTATCAGCATCATCATCAGCAGCATCATCATACTCATCATCAGCATCGTCAGTTTCTTCATCAGCATCAGCAGCATCGACAACAGCATCACCCGCATCAGCAGCATCAACATCATCATCACCAGCATCATAGTCATCACCATCATCATCATCATCAACAACATCAGCATCATCATCATCCTCATCATCATCCTCATCATCATCACCATCATCATCATCATCATCATCATCATCATCATCATCATCATCATCATCATTACCAGCATCACCACCATAATCAGCACCATCATCCTCATCATCACCACCACAATCACAAACATCAGCAGCAGCATCAACAGCTTCATCGTCATGATCATCATCATCAGCATCATCATCATCGTCAACATCATCATCCTCGTCACCATCATCATCATCATCATCATCATCCTCATCATCATCATCAACATTATCAGTATCCTGATCATCATCATCAGCATCGTCATCATCAAAAATCATCATCATCATCAGCATCATCATCATCATCGCCATCAACATCAGCATCGTCATCATCATCACCAGCATCATCATCAGCAGCAGCAGCATGTCCATGACCATCATCGTCATCAGCATAATCGGCATCACCATCGGTGTCAGCATCACCACAATCAGCATCAGCAGCATCATCGTCATCATCAGCAGCATCAGCATCATCATCATCATCATCATCATCATCATCATCATCATCATCATCATCATAGGCATCATCGTCATCAGCAACATGATCATGAGCATCATCATCATCAGCAGCATCAGCAGCATCATCGACCGCATCAGCATTATCATCAGCATCATCAACATCATCAGCATCATCATGATCACCACCATCATCAACAGCACCATCATCATCACCATATTCGTCACCAGCATCATCATCGTCAGCAGCATCAGCATTGTCGTCAACAGCACCATCATCATCAGCAGCATCATCATCATCATTAGCAACATCGTCAGCATCATCATCAACATCCTCAACATCAACATCGTCATCAACATCAGCATCAGCATCCGCTCTCCCCCTGGAGACCTCACCAATATGCTCCTCCTCATCATCCCCCTCCTCCACCACCTCCACCTCCTCATCCACCTCGACCTCCACCTCCGCATTGCCATCCTCTTCAGCCTCCTCCTCCTCCTCCTCCTCCGCCCCCTCCGTCTCCGTGTCCTCCTCCTCCTCCTCCTCCTCCTCCGCCTTCTAATCCGCATGCTCCTCCTCCTCCTCCTCCTCCTCCTCCTCCTCCACGTCCTCCTCAGCCTCCTCCTCCTCAGCCTCCTCGCACATCCTCCTCCGATCTCCTCCTCCTCCTCCTCCTCCTCC